TGCAAAATTTTGGAATATGTTTAAATCGTAGAACAATTTTAACATTTGTTTTCGATACATATTTGAGTACTCTACAAATAGTTTCCCATGACTTTTGGTATAAAATAATTAGGGAAGCAGGAATTCAATAATTTAGAATTTCCCATTGAGTTTTCTATGGCCCGTTTGACGATTCACCACCCTGTATACATTTATTTTATATATTTGCAAAGGATATAATCCTATTAGAATTTATATTCGCCGTTGACGTTTTTAAATATCATGATATATTTTTAGAGAATCATGGGTCCTAGGATAATTCAGTGTATACTCAGGATCAACACTGTAGAGTATTCCTGACTGAATTATTACGCTGATAGTTTGTTTCCAATATGCGTCGTACGGCATAAAAGAGTCAAAACAAGTTAAAACCGGAAAATCAGCAGTAGTTAAAATCAGTAGAAATCCTTAAAGTTATTGTAAGAAAGTTGCTGGCAGAGAACCACTCTGAGTTCCTTAAAATCTTGTGGTGGTGGGACTCTTTCTGCTCAGCAGTGATGCTAACTATGTAAGGTGAGAACGAAGGAGAGAAAGCTGAGGACAGCTCAAATGTATCAACGAGATTTCATTAGCCGTCTCCTGGCATGTAAGGCTCTATCGGGAGTGATAAGTTTGAGTCATCCGGCAATCCGAAGATGAAGACGAATACTGAAAATTAGTCAGAATTTTTCAACTCTAACAGCTGTCCGTCGTTCCAAGTCTAACAGTTAAAAAACTTATATTGCAAAAATTTTTATTGCCTTTGGAATAACTTTGATATTTTTATTAAAGACGTCTTATAGCATTACACGAAGATTTTTAATGATCCTACAACTTGATAATGTTTGGTTATTCGCAAGTAGTCACAAATCCTAGATGCAATTGACTGATGGATTTCACGTTACACTTCTAAGATCAATTAGGAATTATCCTTGGTGTAAAGTGTGAGAAGAAAGTTCCACCAAAAAGTTGACAGAAATAAACAAGAGACTTGTTAGAAGATGTAAAGCACGACACATTGAATTCGTTAATTTAGATGTAAAATAAAGTTAGTTAAGCGTGAGAAGCGTCAAACTAATATTTTTTTTTATCATAGAGTCATAGAAGTTTAAGTTGGGGAAACTGTTCCTGAACTCACAAAAATTGTCAAGAAGCGTAAATCGTCTTATCTTGGACACATATTTAGACACGGCAGGTATAACTTCCTTCAGCTTATTATAGAAGGGAAAATAGAAGGCAGACGCAGCCCGGGTAGACGACAAATGACCTGGCTGCGCAACATCAAAGATTGGACAGGACTAGACTTTCAAAGTTTAATAAGGAAAGCCCAAAATAGGGAAGACTTTACAGAGGTCATCACCAACCTTCGCTAAGAAGATGGCACCCAAAGAAGAAGAAAAAACAGTTCCTAGTGGCTCACTCACATCTCATGCAAGCTGACATCTGATTTACGATCAGTATTGTTCAGTATATGTTCAGTAGTTTCAGTATTGTATCAGTATCTCATTTCTAACTGAATGTATGGTGAGCTTCATGGGTTGATGGAATCATAAGCTCTTACTTGATCTATAACTTTTTTATTCATGCACTGAATAATCTTAATATGGGGAAACTCACAATCGATTTATTGTAAAAAAAAGTTTAGTCATTGCATAGTTCGCGTTTTGAATCTTTGAATTGGATTATAAGGGCATGCTATTTAATACCGCTTTACTATTTTCACAACAAGTGGGTATGTGAAATAGCTATTTACGGCCAATAAGCGAGAAACGATTGAAATCTTAAAATACACGGTGCCAAAATGCTTCAAATAGTGGACAACAATACATTGGACTGGAATACAGTCGAGCAAGCCGTTGTGGCTATATACCAGAAATCATTTTAAAATTAAATGATTTTAAAGATATACCAAAAATCATATTAAAGTGAATTGAATTTAAAGTTATATACCTACAAAACACAAAAAGATCCGTTGGTTTTTAACTGGAAATGCATTAGTATAGAATTAAAATGAAAACTGAAATGTAAACTGAAAAAAGCAATAACAGTAACAGATAACCAGTCAGTCTGAATAAAATTACGTTTCCCTACTAGCAATTTCATTAATTTTATGCTACTCGTCCGATTTTTCAAGATCCAACTGATATTTTTCCGTTATTTAAAAAACACAATTTTCCAGAATTTTACGTACAAAATACTAAATCGATACACAGTTTAGTCGTTTGAAAACAAATGAATTCTATTTTTCGTTCAAATTCTGCTTCAAAACATCGATCGGTCGGCCTGTTTTGGATGAAGTTTTTTTTTCAACTAAATCAATGTTTACGTAGGAATAAATTCTCGCAAACATTTATCGTAACCAAAAAAACACAATGTTTTTCTTCCTTATATAATCAAGTTTTCCTTAAAACATTTTATAACAGTATAAGTATATAAGTAAGCAATATGTATAAAGTAACGAATTTTCTCTTTAAAGATTTTAAAATAAAACAAGGAGAAATTTATCACGTAAGAATTAACAAATAACTAATTAAAATAATATGTAATTAGTCTTCTTACAGTAGACGCAGATTGTCTAGGAGACCGGTGTGAGTCAATGATCGATTATTCTAAAGCCAATCGGAAGCTTTCGAATTTTTTTAGATCTCTAAATTCTTTTGATAGGTACATTTATCAACTGTGTAACATTGCAGTGTTGATGCTTGAACTATTCTTCTTCTTCAAGTGCCCTGTCCGTTGCGAACGTTGGCTATTAACATGGCAATTTTGATCTTGTTTGCGGCGCTTCTGAATAGTTCGACCGATGTGAGCCCGAACCACTTCCGCAGATTTTGGAGCCACGAGTGTCTTCTCCTGCCTGGCTCTTCGCTTACTGTCTATTTTTCCCTGGACAATCAATTGTAGCAGACGGTACTTATCGTGTCTCAATATGTGGCCTAGATATTCAAGCTTTCTTTGTTTAATTGTATTCACGATTTATTTCTCCTTTCCGATTCTTTTGAGTACCTCTATGTTGGTGACATGTTCGGTCCAGGATATACGAAGAATGCGTCGGTACACGGACATTTCGAATGCTTCTAGTTTTACTCGTTAGCGTCTCCGTCAGCGTCCAGGCCTCCACGCCATACAGCAAGATCGGAAAAATGTAGCATTTAACTATACGTAGTTTTAGGGGAAGAGACAAATCCTTGCTTATGAGGAGCTTTTTCATATTGCTAAATGCTGCTCTAGCTCGTTCTATTCTCGGCTTAATTTCTATGGTCTGTTCCCATTTTGCATTTACGTTGGTGCCAAGGTACACATAAGATTCTACATGGTCAATTAATATGTTGCTTATCCGTAATTGTCGAGCAGGTTGTTGCTTTTTTACTTATCAGCATCCACTTTGTCTTCTTGAAGTTGAGGCTCAGTCCGTATTCCTCACTAACTGAATAAAGTCTTTCCATTACTTGTAATTCGTCTATGGTACTGGCAAGGATCACCGTGTCGTCGGCGTATTTTATATTGTTCGTTAACTCGCCGTTTATTTTTATGCCCTCATTTGCATTTTCCATACATTTGTTAAATATTTCCTCGGAATACATATTGAATAGGAGTGGGGATAATATACACCCCTGACGGACACCTCTTTTGATCTGCACGCTTTCAGTGAGTTCGTTGCCAATTTTTGCTCTTGCTGTTTGACCCCAGTATAGGTTTGCCACAATTCGAATGTCCTTGTCGTCAATACCTGTCTTTCGCAGAATACCTATCAATTGTTCATGATTGACATTGTCAAATGCTTTTCTAAAATCTACAAAGCACAGATACACGTCTTTATCAACGTCTCTACACCGTTGTATAAGCACCTGGAGAGCGAAAATTGCTTCTCTAGTTCCAAGTGCTTTCCGAAAACCAAACTGCGATCTATCAATATTTGACTCACATTTATCATATATTCTTCTGTGAATGATCTTAGTGAGCGCTTTAGTGACATGATTGATCAAGCTTATAAGCCGGTAGTCATCACAAATCTGGGCATTTGGTTTCTTCGGGATTGTAATAAATGTTGACTGCAGCCAGTTCTCCGGGATTTTACCGCTATTATATATGTTGTTAAAAAGTACAACTAGATTATCAACTTGAACTATAAGTTTGTAATTTGTAAAACCGGTGCAGTGGACCATGAGAATAATACAAAAGGCGTGAGGCCACCTAGAATTTTGTAAGACTTTTTCAATAACTTTAAGTTTGCAGAATTGATATCAGTTTTACGACTTCGGATAATGCACGTGTTGTTTGTACCTTATTTTTCTTGGAATATGGCTATTCTGTTTTTCAAAAACCTTTCACTAGTGTACAGTTGTTCAAAGAGTAAACTTTGCACTTTGAGTGCAATTTTTAAATTAAAAACTATGGCTGAGAAATTTGCTAGATCTGTTCAAATTGTTACTTTGATTGGTAATGGAATGAGTCAAAGAGAAGTGGCCAGACAGCTTGGAATCAGTCGTTCTCTGGTCCAAAAAATTTACCAACGATTCGTAGAGATTGGATCTCACGAACGACGACCAGGATTAGGCCCCAGAAAAATCACGACGGCAAGAGAAGACCATTCTTTACAACGCTTTTATTTGCAAAATCGGTTCTTTACAGCTAGATCAATCCAAAACCGTTTTCAAAATGCTCACGGGTGGACTTTAAGCACTTCTACCGTGAGAAGAAGGTTGAGTGAATTTGGTCTAAAGGCTGACTGTCCAGCAACAGCACCTTTGTTAACAGCAGCACATGAGAGTGTGAGCAGTTTGCTAATGTATTTTTATATTATATATATATATATATATATATATATATATATATATATATATATATATACTTACTTAGGACCTCACTGTATATTCAGTATTATGTTACTCGATTAGATCGATTTCAAAAGATAAAACAGGCCGACCCATTATTGCTTTTTACTAAAATTAACAAAAATTCCAAAACGGTATTTCATTTACCTGATTCTCTACCAACATCGCCATGTCCATGAACATGTCGTGCAATTCTCTAATTGAATTTTCTAACTTGATGATATCGGCGTGTCTGGCTTCGATATCGGCTAATGTCTGTTTTGCTTGTTGCGTTTCCATTATAATCTAAAACAAAATTTGGAAAACATATCAGTTATTGTCAAAAGTTGAGAAATAATTGGAATAAATTATTATTTTTGTATGAAACTAGGTAACATAACACAATTTAGGTAAACAATATAGGTCATAAGAAGACACTAACAATAAACTGATTAATTACGTATAAGTATAGTCCGACAAACGAGAGCTGGCGGGTGAGCTGCGCGAAAATAGAAAAGGAATTATTCTAAGAGAGATAGGAGAGGTACTTAATCGCGATTATAGGTATATAGTATACGTACTTAAACGGTTATACACGATGTGAACTCCTAGCCGACTGCAATAGAAATGAGCAATCCCTTCCACTTTTCAATTTGTTCTACGCGCGACCCGCCAGCTCTTGCTTGTCGGGTTATACTCTGTACTAGAAAACTTAAAGTGTAGTGATGGGTAGACTCGATTACATATGGGAATCGGTTACCGTGGAATCGAGTACAGTAAGGAATTAGATACTTTATTGAGTACTGAGTACCGAGTACTGTGGCTATCAGATTATGAATTAATAGTCGGTTTGTCAATCTGTATCTATGATTTTTCAATTATTTGTGTGTGTGTTTTGCGTATATGTTTTTTTTTTTTGTTTTATAATAAAAATAATTTTTGCAAGCAAATAAAAACATTCTACATAGATCACAAAAAATAGAAAAAAAATTATTCTAACAAAAAATTGTATAAATATATTATTTGGTATGTTTTTGGTATAATTAAAGTAATTATTTAGCTAATAACAAAACTTTCAGTACTCTACTATTGTCTAAAAAATAAAAAACATAGTTTAAATATTAAATGAACATTAAAAAGAGCATTATCCAGTAACTATTTCCTCCTACTCAAATCCTACATATAAAATAGATATTTCTCTGTAAAATTCAATGACTAACAATCCTGAATCCTGCAGAGTAGTTTTCTCGGATTGCCGCTTTTCTCACTCAACACAGCCGATATAACAGAGACTAATTAATAATACTACAATCGCTTTCTTTGATGACGACGTAGCAATATTAGCTGTAAATGAAGATCCCATACAAACCTCACAAGACCTGCAATCATCTGGAGAGACTCAGTGATTGGTACACAAAATGGCGAAAAAAAGTAAACAAAACCAAATCAACTGAAATAACATTTACCAACCTCCATAACACATGCCCACCTGAAAATGGATAATGTAAGAATACCAACAGTAACAGACGCTAAATACCTTGGACACCATTTTGACCAATGTATCACTTGGAATACTTCTTCCATATCCAGAAACATATCCAGACCAAAAGAAGGCAGCTCGAATTAAAATTCCAGCAAACTCAACACCTAAAATAAATTCTTCTATACAAAGCCATACTCAAACCTATCTGGTACTACGGACCACACCAATGGGACTGTGCAAAGCCAACATCTCTGAATATCATCCAAAGATTTCAGTAAAAAGTAATAAGATCGAGAGTGGGTGCACCATGGTACGCAAGCAATCAAACACTTTACTACGACTCCTGAGAGATTCCTTTCATCAGAGACGTAATCTATTGACCATTCACCACGAAAACAACCTAGTAAGGGAATTATTCAACAGGGGTCCAACCACAAGGAGACTAGATAGAATCTGGTCCCAAGACCTATTTAAAAAATAAACTAAAATGGAATTAGGTGAGACATCATTGGATGTCTCTGCTTCACGCCCAAAATATATTTACTTAATAATCTGTAATTATGTAGATTGTAAATAAACATCTTTGTCAACCATTTTCCATCCACTCCTGAATGTAGGTCTCTCCCAATTGCTTCCATCTTTCTCTATATTGCGCCAATCTAATCCACTGTTTGCCTGCCACTGCTCTTATGTCATCTACCCATCTTTTTTGAGGTCTTACCATGTTTCTTGTTGTCATCCTTGGTCTCCATTCTAGAATTCTCCGTGTCCACCTGTTGTCATTATATCGGGCTACGTGACCTGCCCAGCGCCATTTCATTTTTGTAATTGTTTCCACAATATCCCTAATCTTGGTTCTACGTCTTATCTCGGAGTTTCTAATCTTGTCTCTCAGTGATATTCCAAGCATGATTCGTTCCATTGCTCTTTGCGTTGTTTCTAATTTTTTAACAGATTTTTTGGTAAGGACTACTGTCTCCAAGCCGTAGGTACAAACTGGTAGTATGCATGTAAAGCTTTTTCTTTAAGTTTACAGGAATGGTGTTTTTCAAGATATATGCTAGTTTGCCGAAAGCGCCCCATGCCATTTGTGTTCTTCTTTTAATTTCAGCATCTTGATTTGGTTTTCCTAGTTTGATAGCATAACCTAGATATACATAAAGTTCAACATTTTCTATGGTATAATTTTGTATTGTTATATTTGTATGGTCTCGGCTCAGTACTTCGTCGAATGTGTAAACAAAAAGAATTACTAAGAATAATCAAAGAGAGGAAAATGTAATACTTGGGTCATGTGTTGAGAGGCGAAAAATATGAGTTACTTCAAGTTATACTGGAAGGAAAAGTGCAGGGCAAAAGATCAATAGGAAGACGCCAGAACTCATGGCTGAAAGATCCGAGGAGATGGTTCGACCGCTCATCCTCAGAAATCTTTCGCGCAGCAGTGTCTAAAACCATTGAAATTGCCATTTGGATCGCCAACCTTCGAAAGGAGACGGAGCCATGAGAAGAAGACGGCTCAGTATTTTTGTTTTGCTGTAGTTCATTTTTAAGCCTACCGCTCCTGAAACTGCATTTAATTGTTGTAACATATCATGTAGTTCTTGGATATGATCGGCTATTAAAACTATGTCATCTGCGAATCTCAAGTGGTTTCAGTATGATCCGTCGACCTTGATACCCTTATCGTTCTATTCTAGTTTCTTAAAAATGTCTTCTAGAGCAAGGAAGAGATGATGCCTCCTTGTCTTACTCCCCGTTGTAGTCTTATGGGATTAGTTTTTGTGCTTTCGTCCACCTTTACTTGCATGGTGGCATTTTCATATATGTTTTTAATTATGTTAGTGTATCTTGAATCTATACGTGCATTTTCTAGAGATTCAAGCACTGCCGATATTTCGATGGAATCAAATGCTTTATGGAAATCGACAAACGCCATATGAATTGGAACATTATACTCGGTGCATTTTTCTATCAGTGTTCTTACGGTGTGCAAGTGGTCTATGGTACTAAAATGTTTTCTGAATTTATCCTGCTTGATAGATATCAGGCTATCAAGCTAGAAATCGAGCTTATGTGTTAGGCGGTTGGTTATGATTTTACTTAGTAATTTATACAAATGTGATAGCAAGGATATTGGTCGGTAATTCTCGATGTTTGCATTGTCTCCTTTCTTAAATAGTAAAATGACTTCGGAGTTGTACCATTCTTGAGGAATCTTTCCTTCATCAATTACTTTATTAAATAAAATATTTAATACCTGTTCCATTTTTCTGCCACCAATTTTTAACATTTCAACTGTAATTTTATCCTTTCCCGGACATTTATTCGTTTTTCTTCTGAGTTTCTACCGAGTATAATTTAGTGTAGATTTTTTCAATGGCCTCGCTTATTTCCTTTCTGTCATAGTTATATATACTTATTCAAAAACTATTCATTTACGCAATATTGTATTAGAGATATATTCAAATTTTTCATATCACATAGGTATTTAGTTTTGGTTTCCCAATTTACAAAAACGTTTATAACTTTTTTCGCGAATTTTCATTTCTCCTCACTGGAAAACTTTTTTGCTAATTGCACCAGAAACTTTTAGATACGAAATTTAATTCCAAACAATTTTTCATTACCTATTTTTGTCGTAGATATGATACTTTCCGAGATATTCAGAATAAAAGATTGGAAAATTGGAGAATCCAGTGTAGATTTTTCATTTAAAAAGTTTTCCCGGATGTTCTACAAATTTTTCGGACCGAACATATTAAAATTCTAGTTATGAACAACTTTAGGAGACATTTCTACAAAAATCTCCGGTTTTTCTCCAAAATTAAAAGTCTGACAAGTACAATCAACAATAACTGTTTGTATACATAGTATATATGTATAGTCCAGTCGGAGCAATGTTAGTCTGGCATATTCAAATTAAAACACAACAAGTTAGGTACACATGTGATTAGATTTTATTTCAGCAATAGATTGTAAAATTGGAATGATATAAAAAAAAAGCTTTTAAGCAAAATTAAACAGCTTTGCGCTAATCTTTCTGGGGTTTCTTGCTATACAGCAGATTGATTGATGATAACCGACGACTGGATCCATTACAATTTTTATATTGAAAACATAGAATTAACATTAAATTTTCAAGTGAGAAATAACGAATTGCATATAAAGTGTGTTTGAATAATGTATGTAACTAAACCAATTGCAGAATCATCATTTGTTATTGATATTAGAGCCAAAACAAGTGAGTGGTTACATAATGCATCAGAATGGACAGATTGGCAACATCCAAACTCACAAAAATTTGGAAGAACACTAACATTACAAAAAACACAAAATTACGCCTTGTCCGAGCATTGATTTTCCTATCGCCACCTATGCTTCATAAACTTGGACAATAAAAAAAGCCGATTCAAAGCGTATAATGGCATTTGAAATGTGGATCTACCGTAGAATGTTGCGCATACTATGGACCGCCCATCGCACAAATAACTCAATTTTAGCAGAACAACATAAAAACTAGACTCATCACAACTATCAACTATACTGAGATATTTAGGACATATAACTAGAAGAAGAGAAGGCATGGAGCGTATGATAGTTGAAGGTAACGTAGCGGGTAAAAGATCCAGAAGAAGATCTCCATTTATATCACTTAGAAGAGTGATTTTAGAATTAAGAAACCATCTTGTGCTTTGGCAGAGCATGTAATAGACAAAGACCATATTATGGATTTTGATAATATTAAAATTTTATGTAATGAAAGTAATAAATTTAAAAGAACTATTTTGGAAATGGTTTGTATTAGCAAAAGTGATAATAATTTAAACAGAAGGTCAGAAATTCAAAATTGAAGCAAAATTTATAATTATATAATTTCTATTTAATTTATATATGCAGTCAGTAAAATATCACATTTTGAATTTTCCATGTATTTGTTACATTTTTTCGTGCATCTATCAATGGTGAATAAATCTTCTTCTTTTTTTGTTACTAAACAAAGAAGATTTTGTTAAACAAAATTTTATTTTTGACAATATGTCAAAAATAAAAATTTTTAAGATAGTATTTATGACATTTAGGCTGGTGTAGGTAGCTATTCTATTTTTTTTTTTTTCTTAAGAAACTTCATCAAAATTTTTCAGAGAAACATTTATTAGAATAAGACATTTTTTCATTAATATTTTTTGTATTTAATATGTAAGCAGTAGTTTTATATAAAAAACTAATTTTATTTGGTGAGTTAACAAAAATTTTTTTATTTCTAGTTCAACTTTGTAAGATATTTTGTATTTTTTAGAAGCTCTTGATAAAAATTGTAATCACAATTGAAAGCTCGAGTAAAAAATAGTCAACAAATAGCCCCTTTTATTGACTCCAACCCATCAAAAACAGTTTTATATATATATATATATATATATATATATATATATATATATATATATATATATATAGTAGTTTTGAGTTTCTTGAACCGTATTATATTTAATATAAAATTAATATTTCTTGGGTTAGGTTCAATAAAGATATGTTACATGTGGAACTAGATTTTATTTTCCATTGCAATTAATCAACGTTTCGGCAGGAAACCCTTGCCTTTGTCAAGATTCAAAAAAACGTGACACAGACATTAACGAACTGAATGTGAATATGAGTTCGTTAATGTCTGTGTCACGTTTTACGTTTTGAATCTTGACAAAGGCAAGGGTTTCCTGCCGAAACGTTGATTAATTGCAATGGAAAATAAAATCTAGTTCCACATGTAACATATCTTTATTGAACCTAACCCAAGAAATATTAATTTTATATATATATATATATATATATATATATATATATATATATATATATATATAAACTAGATCAGTATAGTAGTGCCTAGAGGATCGGGAGACTGAGACGTCGGAGGCCCTGAAGAAGACATCAGGGAGGATGTCGAAAGCTCGACGCAATGAGAATCAACGCGGTTCAACCCGAAGACTGTTGAGTTTAATATGTTGTAATAGTATTAATCTTAGCTCTAGGTTTAATTGTACTAACCGCGGAAATCTTTCGGAACAATCTATATATATATATATATATATATATATATATATATATATATATATATATATATAATGAGAAGACTACAAAATTATTAAAAATCACTCCAAATTGTCTTAAAAATTCCAACTTTATTTAAATAACTTTTTTAAACTCTTCGAGTGAATTTCTCCCCTGTTACATTCAACAACGAATAACTGGAGCATTACAAAATGTATAGACATGCATACTATTCAAAATTGCAACCCCAGAATTAAAGTGAAGTGTAATAGGCACTTGAGATATTGTAAAATGTTGCAGACGAAGCACGTACTAAAATCAAATCACTGCTATGTTATTGAGTATACGACGCTATAATGTGCGAAATAGCTCAATCTCTTCTAAACGGGTGTAATACTGGACGGATCGAAAATTATTCGATATTATTTAAGTACAGCATAAATCTGTTACAAAATTGTTTTCTCTGTACGAGATATTCAACTACATATTTAGTTTTGGAAAGAATCACGTAGAGAATGAATGCTATTTAGCAATCCGTTATCAAAATTTCTTTAGCTGTATAGTTTTTTTAATTCTATATTTTCTTAACTTAATTTTAATTTTATACATACACACATCAAAGTAATCTAGGGGATACTTATATTAATAGGTTTAAATTAATGTTAGATGCAAATACAAAAATAAATTTATGTTTTTAATCTTTTTTGTAGTTTTGTCGAAAGACATAATTAAAATCGCGAAACGCAGTGGCGTGCTATATCGGGATGCTTTAAGCTGGCAGAAGTCAAAGAGACGTTGCTGAGGTCGTCCACACAAACAGAAGAGTCGTTAACCGTTTGTGGTAAAAGTGTCAAGAAATTGGTGATATTGCTGAACGTCATACAGGCCGTACAAGGATAACCAGCAATATTAAATATCGTTTTATTAGGTTGCAGGCTTTACGAGATCACACTGTAAAAGACCCATTAGGTGTTTGTAAATGGCCAAACCATTAGAAATAGACTGCGTAAACTGCATAAAGTAGGGTTAAAAGCTCGATGACTGTGAGAGTGCCTGTGTTATACAGAGTACATCGACTTCAGTTGGCAGAAAAATACGCAAATTGGGTTAAACGTGAGTGAAACTCTACTTTGTTCAAATGTGTCCTGATTTGGGTTTGTACCAGATACAAGACTGACAAGAATTTGAAGACGAACTGGCAATGCTGAAGGATTGGCCACCGTGCAGGAGGTTCATAGACAGCAAATCGACAGTATAATGGTATGGGGTATCATCACTCTTGGTGAAAAAACCAAACTCGTTTATCTGGAACGGTTTATAAATGCAACAAACTACCGCGATACTATTGTTGAAGCTACTGTTGTACCCTTTGCACAACAAGCTGGCCCCCAATTTCAATTAATGTACGACAATGCGCGTCTGTATACTAACATGGTCATGCGAATATTCCTCGAAGATGATGAAATTTAAGTTTTACCATGCAATGCACAATCGCCTTTAAACCCAATTGAGCATGTATAAGACATATTGGGCATGGACGAATTCGTGTAACCTCTGATGATGAAGCATCAGCTGGACCCTGGTCTTCCTCGCCTTTCGGCATACGACCGTTAGCTAACCACTACTCCTACAAGTCCGACACCATTTGAGGATGGCGTGTTACATAAAGCAACACGGGGCTTCACCCTCCCTGTAGTACCTGTGTTGCGGAACGCACACCATCCGTTATCCCCCCGGGGCGGAAAGGGGAACGCAGGTCGAGGCTAGACGTTTGACAGGTCGCCGCTGAGGACACTCCTCTACCACTCTTAGGTCTCCCAGGTGGGTACGTGCCGTAACCCCATGCCCTTAATGGGAAAGGGTGTATTAGGGACGCAGCACGTTCAATCTCACCTGGTTCTGTGGAGAGTAGAGTGGTCCCACGAGAGGCTCGTCTCAGATACTAGGAGTGTAGACCGGTGACCGTAACACCGAAGCGCCCTGCGTGCGTTTCTACAAACCCGACATCTCGAACGACGACACTTCACCTCTTCATTCCTTACCAATAGTCGCCTCTTACGACAGGCAGGAAAAATCGACCCGGCTGCATTCTTATTTCCGCGAGCCGGACGGAAGAGGAGATATGGGGCAGACGCATTATACAATAAAATATTGCGTTCAATACAAGACAACAACTGTTTGAGGGCCTTATTATGGAATGAACCCAACAACCGTGGAGGTCATTCACTGTACTAACTTAACCTAACCACTAATTTGTTGGGAGTTGAGGGGCAACAAATTAGTTTTTTACACAGCATCAAGAATCAACATTCGGATACAGCATCTTGGTATAACATGCTTCATAATATGTTGATTTGAGTTTTTCTCTCCTGTTGCCGACCAGTACGTAGCTTCGCCTATTTTTTAAATAATTTTAAACTATTTGTCCTTGTTTAGTGTAGTGTTATGTACAATTTTATGTTTATGACATTCTGAGATTGTTGGATAGTCCAAAATTAACGAAATGCTTCTGAAGATGCTCTAGGAAGCAAAAGTACTTGGGAATATGTAATTAAAAAAATTGTGCTCGATATCTGCCTTTCACTTTATCAAAGTTCATTTATTCGAGCATTCAACCTTATACCAATTTATTTTTTATAGTCATGATTCTATTTTCAGACTGTTCCTTATTTAATTATTTCCTTAATTAACTGCTGCGGATGAACTCAACGCATGCCTAATATCATCCAATTTGTGGCGCCATGCCAAGACGCTGCATTTGACAAATAACATGTGAATGTTTTTGCAATAAGATGCAAATACAATTGTCGCTATTGACACCTCGACCGGATTCCATTTCATTACCCGGAGATTTCCGTTACTTAACAGCTTTGAAAGAGGAGCTTATTGAACTTATTGTGATGCAATATTGAATTTTAAGGCGATACGAAGTTTGGCAGGTCAGCTAATTACAAATAAAAATTTACCGGAATCAATTAAGTACTAAGTAAAAACCGATTAAAATAGGTGACATTATAAATCGTCCACGGCATTTCAAAGAACCGGTATGGTATAATTGCGGCTTGAATGCCATAGAAATTTTTGTAGGTAACGATCAGTTAGGTACCAGTTCATAAAATAAGTAAAATAAGAAACTACTTACACCTTGGGTGAACACTGCTGGATTTCCTTGTTCTAACATCTCTTCTAATTCTTCATTGGTTGTTTGCCTACCAGCTGTAAAAATAAATTAAAAATTAGTGATTGAGATTAGATATTAAAAAATGCTTTGTTGTATTTGGAGCATATTGTAGTTGCAATTGTTGTTGAGCAATGTTAGAATATTATTAGCGTTTCGGATTCGTTTAAGAGCATGTAAACTTCGTAATATGAATAGTTTTATATGTTAAGCATAAACTTTATTATTTTGGAGAAAAAAGAACATTACAAAACGATATTCGGTAACTGTAATGTAAGAAGACTGTATCTGACTGTAATTTTCCTGTATCTCACACCGAAGCGTGCCTGATCTACTGTTTGATATATAAAAGTATAGTTTTTTTGAGTCTTACAAAATTAAAAAATGTAAAACGTGAAAACAATGAATAATGTAAATCTCCCTTCACAACCAATGCTTCAGTATTCCCTAAAACAAAAAACGGTGTGTGATTTTTTTGCATTTGTAGCGTTATATCGATACATATTTAAACAGTTTCTCTTGCTTACGTGAACTCTCCATACTACAGACCTAAAATAACTTCGGACCGAAGCAGTATCAAAGAGTTGAAAGCCTCCACAACATCCGGTGAATTTCCAATGCTCCCTTCTAAATTGGTTTGTTTGAAGTCAACAATTTATGTTTGTAATGAAAAGGGGCGGAGAGTGAGGTCGAGGTAATTAGTTTGATAGCTTTCGTCGCCGGATAACTCAATGTCGTTGACAGAACTACTCCTGGAACTAATCAAGTTATCGATGTACCGTGTATAGTAGTTTCCTCAGTTGGATAGTTAAGTTAAAATCAGTTGGTGCATTCTGGAGTACAAAGATTGCAATTTGTGTACGGTTAGTCTATGTATACTTTAGGTACCTTAACTAATAAAGTAATATTCTCAAAATAATATTACCTAATTTAGATAGAAACCTGCTTTTAAGATACTGTTTTAGATACTTAAAAATATCTTCAATATAAAGATAAACAAAGCAATTTAAATTCACTATTTTCTTTCTTGGAAACTATATCTGTGTTGCTTATTTCGCTCCTATGTTCATCTCATCGACAAGTTATATTTATAAGCTGTTTATGGAAAGTTTCATTAAGCTAGGTTCGGACATTCTGCAATGACTATTAGTGTTTAATCAGCTGCTTACCTTAACGCCCTTATTTCAGTCAATTCTAATATTTTTTGTTCTCTTATTACAGAATTATAAATAAACAGCATTAAATTATTTCAAAGAAAGAACAACAGACTTGCTGCAATTAATTCTACAAAGAAAAGTAGAAGGAAAACGGGGACCAGGAAGGCGAAGGATTTCCTGGCTGAAAAATCTACGTACGTGGTTCAACACAACAACCAAAAACCTTTTCAGAGGAGCAGTTTGCAAAATACCGATTGCCATGATGCACTACAAGAAGATAATAAAATCCATATAACATAAAACGACAATTTACACAATTTTAAAAAGGATCTTTGTACGACGGTGGACCGATAAGTACTTAGCCTCACCACCCAATGGCGTCATTACCACAAGAGAAATGTACTATCGTGCAGTATTTTTCCGTTGACGGATAATCTCAAAATTTTAGCCGAATCGGGTGGTTTTGTTTTGACAATTTGTGGAATTTAAAAATTGGAAAAAGAGCAATATCAAGGATCGCTCGTGTGTACGGTGATTCTTCTCCTTTGATAGCGACCGTCAACAATTGGATTAATGTCGGCGCAATGGGTGCCGCATTTACTCACTCCGTACAATAAGCGCAATCATGAGACCACTTCAGCTCAGTTTATGACGCTGTTAAAGCTCAATCCGTGAGAGATTCTGTGTCGTTCCGTGACCATCGACGAAATATGAATCCAATGGTACACACCAGAGACCAAAGAATAGTTGCAACAGTAAACTTCATCCGGAAAAAGTGTTCCCAAGAAGGCGAAGACCTTTCGGCCAGAAAGGTGATGGTCATCATTTTCTGGAATTGTGATCTACATCGACTCCCAGGAGAAAGACAAAACGGTTACTATGCCGAATTATTGGGCCGATTCGACGTTGAATTACAGAAAAACGATCATAGAAGCAAAAAAGTGCTCTTCACCTCATAAAAATGCAGACGAAAGTCATTTAAACAATTACCGTGGAATTTCTTTGCTCCCAGTGTCCTACAAAATCTTATCTAGGCTATTATTAAATAGAGCACAGCCCATTTTAGTTCAACCACTGGGCGAGTACCAAGTAGGCTTGGAAGGGAAGAAACGGGCTGATGCCCTAGCTAGACAGGGCTCATCCACTCTGCCTGTGGAACCCCAACCTGTGATTGTAGTGCCCTTCAGTACTGGTCGGGGTAATCTCAAGGAGCTTCTTTTGCAGAGTTTCCAGGACTCCTGGGCCAGTTGTAGCGGTATGAGACAGGATAGGCTCCTCATAGTGGTGCTTCATCCAGTTGGACTGACCCAGCAAATTATCATGCTTTCGTCGAAATAGTTCAAAAATCCTCCCGAAGGCACATTCCTAAAGACTGTAGACAACGGTACGTCCCAGACCTTAACGGCGAAGGATGCGACCTACTAAGTATATATCAGAGACTGTTCAACACTGACCCATTTAGTGAGGACCATAGAATGCGGATAAGAGCTTATGAAGACCATAAGTAAGGGGAGGCAGCGAAAGTGGATAGAGACGTTGGAGAACATGGATATGACACATAGCAGTAAGATCGCGTGGAACCTTGTCAAGAAATTACAGATCAAACTAATTACAGGTGTGGTGTTCGTACGCCTAACCGCAGCCTATGACACTGTTAGTCATAGAATACTCTGAAAAAAGATCAGAGCATTAACAGTAAATAAACAATTCACAAACGTCGTAAAATTTTTGCTTGAAAACAGGAGATGCTATGCCTCCTTTGAGAGGAAGGAAAGCCTCTAGCGGAACCAGATGAACAGTGCAGAGTGGGATACTATCACCGACGCTGTTCAACGTTTACACTAACGACTAACCAATTATTTAAACTAACGAGTACTTCCTTATGCTGACGATCTTGCTTTGGCCGTACAGGACAGATCTTTCGAAGGGGTCGAAATCAGGCTCGAGGAACCACTTTGTGAGAACAATTTACTATGATAGGAATTCGGTAAAGCCTAACTTACCAAAACCCAAGTCTGCTCTCTTTCCACTTAAGATCGAGAAAGGCGAAAAAAGCTGAAGATCAGATGGAACGGACACCAAGTGGAACACGCGGACCATCCAATATACCTCGAAGTAAAGCTGGATTCACATATAAAGCACAGTATCAAAATACCGCTCTGAAACTAACATCTTGTAACCAGGTACTTCACAAACTCTGCTACTCTCAATAAGGCTCCCAACCGAACGCCCTTCTAACCAAAGCAAAGTCTCTCAGCTTCTCCACGGGCGAGTATGCATGTCCTGTCTGGAGTAGATCGGCACACGCTAAGAAAGTGGACGTGGCCATAAACGAAGCATGCCGAATAGCAACAGACATGTTATGTCCGATATGGAAGAGCACTCACACGACGACCTGCGGCTGAAATCCAGGAACGGTTTTCTCAGTGGCGTTCCCGTGAAACCTCAAGATTGGTATGTCCCGAAACCAAACATACCGACTGGCTTGAACTGTGATTGGAGGTCATGGGTAATACTGAATCAAATGAGATCGGGCGTGGCCACTGTGAAGACCAACAGAACAAAAAGGGGCTAGCTCGATGAAAAGGACACCTTACGTACGTGCCGACAATGACAGGACAAGGACACCTTACGTACGTGCCGACAATGACAGGACATGGACCACCTGCTCTAGTCTAACCAATGTGCGTTTCCATGTACGATGGACGACCTGGGGAAGGCCAACACCAAGGCAATAAACTGTGCCTGATTCTGGGCCAAACATTTGAAATGATCACGCTTCGATACGAAAAAGTAAAAGTAATTAATCAATACATCATTACAGTTGGTAATCATATTATCGAAAGAGTCAATAGTAATTTATAAAAATCTTGTAAACAGACGAGTCAAATTGAAGAAAATATATTTAGTAATATTAGAAGTGTTACACCCAGAAGAAATAATTTCTTGAACTTAATTTTTTGGCAACATGGTAGATATACATCAAGAATGAAACGATAACGTTGTCAACAATTTTTATTAACAAATAATCAAAAAAAAATTAATAATGTGTTTGGCGACCCCGTAGCTGAATACACTCCTGTATACATCTAGGCATTGACAAAATGAGATAATCGATGTCTGTTTGTGGCACCTCATTCCAAGCAATTTGAACGTCATGTATTAACTGTGCCAGAGTCTGTGCAGGATGGTGCAAAGTGGACAATCTCCTTCCCATCATATCCCATACAAGTTCGATAAGATCTAAATACGGAGCACGGGGCGGCCACGGCAAAACAAAGTGGTTTGTAAGATGTCATCAACATAACGCGCAGCTGTCATATTTCCTCGAATAAACACAAGTGATGATCGGCTACCATAGACAATAGCCCCCCAAACCATTACTCCAACTGTCCTGTGTACATGTCTCTCAAGAGCAAACCCGATATCTCGTCGCTCTCAACGGCGCCGTCTTACCATCCTACGACCATCATGCATTTCTAAACAGAATCGTGATTCATCGCTGAATGCTACATTATCCCATTCTGGCACGCAATGCTGCCGTTCTCTGCACTAATTCAAACGTTGATGTCAATGGTCCGTATTCAAAGGAAGCACTAGTTGTGGGCAGAATAAAACCAGTCCAAAAGCTCGAATACGACGGTATAGTATACGCATACTATCAGGTCTACCTACTACTCCAAACTATTGGTCAGCAATTTGACGTGTGGTAGCAAAACGGTCTCACAAAGCCAGTAATCTAAAGCGCCTATCTTGACGCTGTGTTGTAAGCCTCGGTTGACCAGTTGGTCTTCTTCGTGTTTCTCTACCTTCGCTTTTTCACACACGACAGACACGCATAACCGTTATTGCCGTACAATTAACACAACGGCCTACTTCGC